TAATTGTATTTTAGATGAAGATTTGGAGCCTTGGTGGTATAATGGTTAAGAGCTCAGCTGTTAACCAAAAGGTCAGCAGTTCAAATCCACCAGCCACTCCTCGGAAACCCTATGGGGCAGTTCTACTCTGTCCTGTAGGGTCGCTGTGGGTTGGAACCAACTTGATGGCACCTAACAACAACAGATGAAGGATTACAGAGCAAACTCGTTTCTCATTAAACAATACACACATTGTTTTGTGACATTGGCTGCCACCTCCACAACATGTCAACACTTTCCCCTTCTTGACCTTGAGTTCCCCGTTACCAGCTTTCCTGTCCCCTCCTGCCTTCTCGTCCTTGCCCCTGGGCTGATGTGTCCCTTTAGTCTGTTTTGTTTTATGGGCCTGCCCAATCTTTGGCTGAAGGGTGAACCTCAGGAGTGATCTCATTACTGAGCTAAAAGGGTGTCCGGGGGCCACACCCTCAGGTTTCTCTAGTCTCTGACAGGCCAGTAAGTCTGGTCTTTTTTTGTGAGTTAGAATTTTGTTCTACATTTTTCTCCAGCTCTGTCTGGGACATTCTGTTGTGATCTCTGTCAGAGCATTCGGTGGTGGTAGCCAGGCACCATCTAGTTGTGCTAAACTCAGTCTGGTGGAGGCCATGGTAATTGTGGTCCATTAGTCCTTTGGACTAATCTTTCCCTCGTATCTTTGGTTTTCTTCATTCTCCCTTGCTCCAGATGGGTTGAGATCAGTAGAGTATCTTAGATGACCACTTGCAAGCTTTTAAGACCCCAGACACTACTCACCAAAGTAGGATATAGAACATTTTCTTTATAAACCATGTTATGCCAGTTGAGCTAGATGTTCCCCAAGATCATGGTCCCCAGCCCTCAGCCCAGTAATTCGGTCCCTCAGAGTTCAGATGTGTTTACGGAACTTCCATGACCCTGCCTTGCTCAAGTTGTACTGGCTTCACCAAAGTTACCCCTTGAGATAGAGTTTTATTTTTGTTCTAATACATCTATCAAAACTTTGTCTTAACATAACATAACCTTCTTGGACATAAGTTTCCTAATCTTTTAAAATCAAAACTAATGGAGTTGTACAATTTAAATTAGAAGATTTAATTAAACATAATGGAGTTTTCAACTGGAAAGTATTGTATATTTACAATGGCTGTTATATACTGGAGCCCTAGTGGCTAACTGGTTAAGAGCTTGGCTGCTAACCAACTTTGTTTTTTCTGGTTCCTTTGGCTTTTCATATAAATTTTAGAATACCACTACACACCTATTAGAATGGCTAAAATAAAAATACTGATAATACCTAGTGCTAACTAAGATGCAGAGCAATTGGAATGTGCATACATTCTGGTAGAAATGCAAAATGGTACAGCCATTCTGAAAAATCTTTTGGCAATTTCTTACAAAGTTTAACATACAGTTTCCATGTGACCTTGGCAATTCAACTCCTAGAGAAATGTAAACTTATGTTCACACAAGAACTATACACAAATGCTTATAGCAACATTATTCATAATTGATAAAAACTAGAACCAACCCAAATGTCCTTCAACAGGTGACTGGATAAACAAATGTGGTGTATCTATACAGAGATGCTCAGCAATAGAAAGCACTATTGACACATGTGACAACATGGGTAAATCTTAATCCATTAGGCTAATTGAAAGAAACCAGTCTCTAAAGATTGCGTACTATATGATTCCATTTATATGACATTAAGGAAAAGATAGAACAATAGAGACAGAGAACAGATGGTGGTTGCCAGGAGTCAGAGGTGGGAGGAGAAGACACAGCATGAGGAAATCTTTGTTCTGTTTCCTAATTGTGGCGGTAGCTACATGACTCTACTCATTTTTCAGAACTCGCAGAAATGTACACAGAAAAGTGAATTTTACTGAATGCAAATTAAACATAAATGTTTAAAAATACATAAGCAACATTACCCGTCCTCAAGTGTAGAAGTAGAGACTAGTAAGTACATAATCAAACCGGTTGCTGTTGAGTAGATTCCAACTCACAGCGACTCTATAGGACAGAGTAGAACTGCCCCATAGGGTTTCCAAAGAGCAGCTGGTGGATTTGAACAACTAACCTTTTGGTTACCAGCCAAGCTCTTAACCACTATACAACCAGGGCTCCCTTTTTAGCATATAAATCCTATACATTTGTGCTGGGAAGTCCCCAAGACCAACCTCAGGTTCAATGATTCATTATGAGGACTTACAGGACTCAGCATATAATTGTACTCGCGGCTATGACTTAGTACAGTTAACCGTATTTTGTTTATTATAACAAAATTAGCAAAGAGAAAAGGTGCAAGGGACAAAGTCTAGGGAAAACTGGGCACAAGCTCCCAAGGATCCTTTCCCAGTGGAGTCACACAGGATTCGTTTAATTCCCCCAGCTATGAGTTGTGGCAACAAGTGTGAAATATTGCCACAGGCAATCTCTTTAGAAGCTCAGCACCCGAAGCTTTTATTGGGGGCTAGCTACTTAGGCACTCCTGACTGGCACACACCCACAATTCCAGCTCCCAGAAGGAAAGGTGGTGTTCAGCATAAACCACCTTTTAAGTTTAGGCATAGTGAGTCACTCTTTTCAATTAGGGTGGAGGGAACTTCCCAAAATCCAAGGACCAACTTTGCAAGCAGAGTTTTCCAAGGGTAGCATTTGGGGCCTGCCATGTTAACTCTTTTCTACACAACATGTTTCATTACACTTATACCTAATTATATAATTTTTGGAACTATTATAAATGGTAGTGTTTTTTAAATTTTGGATTACAACTCTTCATTGCTAATATTTAGAAATGCAATTGATTTTTGTGTATTGACATCATATCCTGCAGCCTTGCTAAGCTTAATTATTAGTTCTAGAAACTTTTTAATATATTATTCTTTGGAATTTTCTACATAGACTATGTCACCTGCAAATAGAGATAATTTTTTTTCCTTTCCAATTTGTATGCCTTTCGTTTATTTTTCTTGTCTTATCACACTAGGTGGAATTTCCAATACAACATTAAATAGGAATCTGTGAGCAAACAGCCTTTTATTGTTCTCAATCTTAGGGGGAAAGCATTCAGCCTTTCCCCATTAAGTATGATCTTAGCTTGAGTTTTTTAAATTTGTTGGTTTTGCTTTTCGTGGATGCCCTTTATCAGGTTAAGAAAATTCCCTTGTATTACTAGTTTGCTGAAAGTTTTTATCGTGAAGTAACATGATCATAGAATTTCTTTTTTTAGTATTAATCAACAAATGACATTGATTAATTTTCAAATTTTGAGCCAGCCTTGTATTCCCAGGATAAACCCCAATTTGCCATGATGTATTATCCTTTTTTATATATTGATATAGTCAACTTGCTAATATTTGATTGAGGATTTTTATGTCTATATTCATGAGGAATACTTATCTATAGTCTTATTTTCTTGTACTGTCCTTATCTGGCTTTGATATTAGCCTAATGCTTGCCTCATAGTTGGGAAGTGTTTCCTCCTCTTCTGTTTTCTGGAAGAGATTGTGTAGAATTGGCATTATTTTTTCCTTAAGTGTTTGCTAGAATTCACTAGTGAAACTATCTGGACCAGAGTTGTCTCTATTGGAAAGTTTGTATCTTAGTTGGCTAGTGCTCCTGTGACAGAAATACCACGAGTGAGTACCTTTAAAAAACAGAAATTTATTTTTTCACAGTCCTAGAGACTACAAGTCCAACTCAGGGTCTTGGCTGTGTTGATTTCTTCCTTGTAGGTAGTCCTGGGTGTTCCTTGGTTCCTTGGCTTCTAGACGACTCTCACATGGCATGTTTCCCACCTCCCCCAACCTCCACCCCAACGTGTATGCACATCTCTGTGTCTAATATGAGCCTTTTAAAACTCAGAAATATACTTAGAATACACTCTACTCAGGTATGATCTAATTAATTACATAACAAAGAAAACCCTGTTTCCAGACAGGATTACATCTACAGACGTAGGGGTTAGGATTTCAATACATACTTGGGGAGTTGTTGTTGTTAGGTGCCATCAAGTCGGTTCCAACTCATAGCAATCCTACATACAACAGAACAAAACACTGCCTGGTCCTGTGCCATCCTCACAATCGTTATGCTTGAGCCCATTGTTGCAGCCACTGTGTCAATCCATCTAGTCAAGGATCTTCCTCTTTTTGCTGACCCTCCACTTTACGAAGCATGATGACCTTCTCCAGGGACTGGTCCCTCCTGATAACATGTTCAAAGTACGTGAGACAAAGTCTTGCCATCCTTGCTTCCAAGGAGAACTCTGAGAGGGACACACTTTAATGTATAACAATTTATAACTACAAATTCAATTTCTTCAGTAACTATAGGTCTAATAGGTTATCTCTTTCTTCTTGAGTGGTTTTTGATAGTTTGTGCCTTGTAAGGAATTGGTCACTTTCATCAAAGTTGTTGAATTTATGAGCATGGAATTTTCATAGTGTTCCCTCATTATTATTTTAATGTCTGAGGGGTCTATAGGTTCTTTTGTTCCTATATTGATAATTTGTGTCTTCTACTATTTTTTTTCTTTGTCACTCTCACTGGAGGTTTATCAATTTGATTAATCTTTTTTAAAAAAAACTAGCTTTTGATTTCACTGATTTTGCCTATTATTTTTTGTTTTCAATTCCATTGATTTGTATTCTTATTTTTACTCCCGTTCTTCTGCTTGTTTTAGGTTTAATTTGCTCTTTTTTCCGATATCTTTTTGTT